CTAAGTGTTGAGATTTTCAGTTGGAGATTTGGGGAGTTCTGGAAAGGACCAGCCATTAAGTCCATAACAAGTACTAACTGAATCAAGCAGGATAGGTGGGATGTTTGGGGCTTCAGTCCCATTCAGAGCGGCCTCACAAGGAAACCCAATTTTCTGGAACTGAGAATAATCTGTTCTGATTTTCTGACATATTCATGCTGTCTTTGGAATGTAACAAAATTACCATAAGGGGCCCATGGCTGGAAGCGCCATACTGTGAGTCTCAATACTGAAACCATTAGTTGTGACTCCACAGAAGTGAATGGTAAGCCAGTTGCAGCCCATACTACTAGACCATGAGAATCCTTCAAATGCTTTGGAATCAATCTGAGGGTGGAACCTAAATAGTATCATCTGACATAGATGTACAGGCACTATAGAAGACCCTTAGAGAGATGGCTGTTGTGATGGTTGATTTCTATGGTCTACTTGATTAAGAAATATCTAGGACATTAATGAGGCGCAGCTGTGCATATATATCGGTGAAGATAATTCCAGAGAGGTTTAACTGAGGTAAGACCCTCCCTAAAGGTGAACAGTACCATCTGATAGGCTGGAGTATATAGGACTAAATGAAAAAGTGGGAAGGAGAAAATCACCTGAGAGCCAGCACTTGCCTTTCTGTTTCCTGATCTTCGGAGATGTGAGCAAGTAGCCTCCTGCTACCATGGATAGGAGACAGTCCCTGAACCATGCCTCCCCTGCCATGATATGCTGCATTCATCTGGACTGAGCCAAAATAATCTCCTCCTATTTTGAGTTGCTTTTTGTCAGGTTTCAGTCACAACAATGAGAAAAGTAACTAATACAGCTATATAAAAATCTTCTGCCCTCCAAGGGAGGACAAGCTGTGAGGAAGGAGAATCCATGAGACAGAGAGAGGTATAGGAACTCCTACTGGAAGGACACTGATCTCCTAGGGAATTAGAATGTTTCCCAGCCTTCTGTCACTCATACCAAAATGCCTTCTCACTAGTCCAAAGACTTGAGTTTGAACTGTGCTGCTTCTCCTGCTGCTGGGTGTCAAGTCTCCCTCTCTATTGCTGGTGGTTTGCAGTGCAGGGTCTGTCACATTGAGTCCCACCCCAAACACCTAAACTCACTCTCACCCATCTGTCGACTCTCACCCCTGAGGTTATTAAACTGGCAAGGAAATACATGAAAACGGCATTCTTGAGTGGTTCCTCATTCTGGGCAAGAAAAGGGAAGACGATTTCCATGGTTGAAGTATTCCAACCAATTTAGAGAAAAATACCACATGAAGTAAAAATACTATCATCCTGCCAAGCAAGGGTTTTCCTTTATAACCATGCTGACATGCAAGGTTTTTACAGCCTTGCTTTCCCCCTGGTGTCAGTGGTATTGCTGGCTCTCCCCATCTGGAGGATGTCAGCTCAGCAAAGGTAAGGGAAAGGTCTCTTTTGTGGAAGGTGGAAGTAATGAGAGAGCTCTTGGAAAGATTTAAACTCTGCAGAGTGAAAGAAGATTAAAATATCCACTTTAAGAGGGCACAGAAAGGAGCCTCATTACAGTAAAATGAATTGCAAACTCCTCATTGGAAATAGATTTTGGAAGACATCTTTAAGTGCCTTCTTCCTTAAGGGAAGGAAAGCATATACTAAATAATACATAGCATGTTCTTTAATTTACATAAAGTTCAACAACAAGCACAACTAAACTTTCTGATTTGAAAGTGCATACCGTAGAATATGTTGTGGAAACGGGAGGAGGGGATCTTACCGAGGAGTACAATGGAGAATTCTGCGGAAAACCATTTTCTACCTTGGCCTGTGTCATACGACAAAGCTATATTCACATGTAGAAATTTCTCAAACTGTATACTATGATTGGTACATCTTTTCTATGTACAATTTATTATTCAGTTCAAGTAATGTAAATACATCTTTTCTACTTAAATTTTTTTCTTCTATTTTGTTTTTAAGAGAGAGCCTCATGCCTTTGAGGCTATCCTCAAACCTCAAACTCACTAAATAGCGTAGGCTGACTTAGGAGGCTGATCCTCCTGCCTCCACCTCTCAAGTGAAGTGATTATAGGCATGTGCCACCACACCTTATTTTTGCAATGCTTAGTTATCAAACCTAGGGTTTCATGCATGCTAGGCAAGCACTTCACCAGCTAAGCTGTAGCCTCAGGCCCTGAATCCTCTTTTTGCCGCTTGTATGGATGTAGTATCAAGATAAAAAACATCTTGGATGTTCAATGGGATGGAGATGCTGATGAAAGTCAGAGGAGCATCACAGGGACAGCAGAAGTACCACAGGCTTTGTCAGTGAGCAGGTAGAAGTCTGAATACTGCCTGAAATTTACCCTAGATCTTTGAACAAGATTTACATCTTTTTCAAGATTGATTTCCTTCTCTAAAATGTGGGTGACAATTGCCTTTAAGGTTGCTTATAGAATGAATGAATAAATAAATAAATAAATAAATAAATGTGTGCATAGGTTTCTTTCCAAACATCT